ATAGATCCTGGACTTTAGCTGCCTCTTCTGTTCTGTGTTTCTTTCTCTGAACATAAGGGATCAAACAGTAAACCACAGTAATAGATGCATAAGATGGATGTTTCTAGCTTTGAAGGGAGTCTTGGTGAGTTAGAGAGTTTGGGAATTCCTGGCTTCCTCAGCCAGAGCTGATTGTCATCAGGAGGAATTTTCTGTAGCTACATATACCCTTCTCAAAAAAGCAAAACAAAACACTTCCCCAAGGAGAATGCCTGGCTGGCCAGAAGACATGGACTGTGAGTGAGGTGTTCAGAAAGTACTGAGTCAGGGTAAAGGTGAGATGCCTATCCAACAGCTCACTCATGATTTAAGTATCAGTCTCCAAGAAGAATATAGAGGGAGTTATAGGTTCAGTCATTTTTCGGTTGTGTCCAACTCTTCCTGACCCTATTTGGGGTTTTCTTGGCAGAGATACTGGAGTGGTTTGTCATTTCCTTCTCCAGCTCATTTTATAGATGAGGGAACTGAGGCAAATAGGGTTAAGTGACTTGCCCAGGGTCACACAGCTAGTAAGTGTTTGGGGCCGAATTTGAACTCAAGAAGATGAATCTTCCTGACTCCAGGTCCAGCACTCTATCTACTGTTCATTGTAGCTTCTCCTATAGGGGGTTGTACCAGGTTCCAAGTTTTTGTCAATGTGCACTTAGCAATTTTTTGTGTTTTAAGTCTTTCTTTTATAGTGGAGGAAAGAAATCCTCTGTGATACCTCACCTACCTTATACATTGAGTACCTCTCTGATGCCTTTTGGAAAGGTCTAAGGCATGAGCCAAACCTAGGTTTTTTAATGATTTTACCCAGAGCTCCTAGATTGGGAGCGAGGGGTGGGGTGAAGAATCAGAGACAACAAGAAAGAACCTCGCTTCAATCTTTAGAGCCCTGGCTCCCTGCAGGACTTGAACCTCATCTGTGTCTGAGCCCAGACCTATGACCCCTTAGTGGGAGAGGGGTCACAGCTTTTGCCAGCCTTTTGGCCAGTCTTTCTGGACCAGCCCCTGACTGCATTAAATAACATTTTTCTGATAGTTAAAAAAAAAAACATTGTTAAAGAGAAATAGCTATGGAGAAGTAGATAAATAGCTAGCCTCAGAGTCAGGAAGACATAGTTCCAGTCCCCTTTCCGACACATAGTGCTTGGACAAGCCATTAATTTCTCAATGCGCCAGGCAACTAAGACATAAATTTCAAAAAGTGCCAGTCTTCATTAGTAGATGGCATTTGCTTACTGGGAATTCTCTATCCCAATAAAATCATATGTCTATTCAACCCAGACTAGCACTGTTCCACCACCTCCCCCCCCAAAAAAAAGAAAACTAGTGTTATTAAAGAATTGGAAACAAAACAGATGCCCATCAGTTGGGGAAAGACTAAAGAAGTGCAATAAATAAACATAATGTAATATTACTGTGCCCTAAGTAGCAATGACTGTGGAGAATTCAGAGATAGGTTTATGTGAACTGAATCAGAGTGCAGTAAACAGAACCAGGAAAACATATACACAGTAAACAAATACAACCCATAAAGGAAAAGAACATATAAACTAAAACTAATTGCTATGTAATTGTAATGACCAAACTTGGCACAGGATAAGAGATTAAGAAAATGTCTCTTCTTCACACCCTTTGCAGAAGTGGGTTGCTGACACGTAAGAGTGTGGAACATTACATGTTCTGTCATACTGGTCAGTATTTTGGTTAACCTTGCTGAATTTCCTCTCTCTCTCTCTCTCCCTCTCTCCCAATCTTTGTTACAAGAGATGACTCACTGGGGAGGGGAGGGAGGAGGAATATATTTGGGAAAACAAAAAATAAAAATTTCAAAGTAGTGAAATTGAATTGAAAATACTCTGCCCCTCCATTGAACTGTCTTATATCAAAGTGCAGATAATAATTATTATTATTGTTGCTATTTACTAATATCAGGTAACCTGACTGGTTACTCTTTTATTATTAAACTGTTAAAAACTTAGTACTGATAAACTTGCTCAGTAACTTTTTACATTTAATTTAGTTAATTTCAACATATATAAGAACTCTCCAGTCACTCCAAATCTTTATTGAGATTCTTTTCATCCATTCATTCTCATTTTCTTATGTAATCGTATGGTTTCACAATTAGAATTTATTTAGGTGGGAAATTGAGATTTGAAGACAAAGAAGGGAAGTTTTAAAAATTTTTAACCAGAGCTGTAACACTGATCTTTTGGGAAAATTTTCGAAAGCCAATACTTTGACCTCCCTGGAATTCCAGTATACATTGATTTAAACAAAATATTTCGATAGCACTTTAAGGTTTAAAATGTTCTTCTGCCACAAAGTCTACAATAACAATCTAAGTTTTATTATCCAAGTAATTCAATAATCTAAGTATATAATCCAACTATTATTATCTCCTGTTTGCAAATGAGGACATCAAAACAAGTGAAGTGACTTATTTGACCAGGATCACAAAGCTGAAAAATATAAGAGCAGGATGTGAGCCTGAGTTTTCTGTTTTTCCAATTTTCTTTTTCCATTATGTTACAGTGCCTCCTAGTCAGACAGAGGCACTGTTCATCTTTCAAAGCTCTATTATAGATTTTAAGAGAAATGAACATTACTCTTTACAGATTGGAAATTTCTAAGTGAAAAGAGATATGATCTGTGGCAGTAAATAGCTGAAACCAAAGCCAGCAATGACATTGGAAAGTGTTTTTGGATGAACGTTTCTGCTGCGAAGGACAGGCTCCAAGAAGACAAGAAATAGTCATTTAGTTAATGACATTTATGGTACTTTCCCTGTGGGTGCATCACTGTTCCACTGTTTTCTGTTTGGGAATTACAGAAGAATGTTTTGCATGACTTCACATGTATAATGGGTATCATATTACTTGCCTTTTCAGTGGGTAAGGGGAGAGACTGGAGGGAGAGAATTTGCAACCCAAAATTTAAAAAACAAATGTTAAAAAATTAAATAAAATAATTTTTAAAAAGGGAATTAAAGAAAAGACAGAAGCTTCAGTACCTGCCCTAGAACAGCTTATGGACACTATCTCCTGCTGCTTAGAAACAGTTGTCATGGAGAGGAACCTGCTAGAGACAAGAATTCCCTAGCTGAGGAAAATTCAGAGGAAGCTGAAGGGTGAGGTTGGCCAGTTCTAAAAACATGCATGTGCCCACGGAATGTTGAATGCAGCAGCATGAGAGAATTCTGCCAACTTTAACCCCTGTTTGTCCACCTCCATATCATTCCTTACATCCTGTCTCATTGAAGTATTGTGGAAAGAGGGAGGCCTGGATCCAGCACGTATTAGCTATGTGATCATATGCCAGACACGTCAGCCTCTCATTCTCAGTTTCCTCCTCTTCTATAAAATGGGAATAATAGTAATTCTTCTCTTCCAGCTATGGCATAGGAAAAAGCCCTCTATTTGGACTAAAAAACTTGAGCTAGAATTGCAGATGTGGTCTTTAATACCTGTGTGACCTCATCTTAGTTTCCTTATTCTGTTAAAAAAAAAAAAGGGTTAAGAACCAGGAGAACATTGCACACAGTAACAGCCACATTGTGCGATGACTAATATTGATAGACTTAACCCTTCTCAGCAATACAAGGATCTAAGACATCTCCAAAGGCCTTGTCATGGAAAATGCTATCCACATCCAAAGAAAGAATATGGAGTTTGAATGCAGATCAAAGCATCCTATTTGCTATTCTTTTTCTTCTGTTGTGTTTTGTTTCCTCTTTTTGGTAGTTCTTCTTATTGGTTCTAATTCTTCTTACAGCATGACTAATGTGAAAATATGTTTAATAAGAATGTATATGTATAGCCTATATCAGATTGCGTGCCATCTTGGGGAGAGAAGTGGGGAGGAAGAGGGAGAAAAATTTAAAACTCAAAAGCTTATGGAAATGATGGTTGATAGATCAAAATAAATTAATAAAAAAAAAAGGGTTTAGCTGGCCTCAAAGATCTCTTTCAGCTCTAGATCTCTGATTCAGTGCTCTCTAAGATTCCTTCCAATTCTTTTGTGTTTGTCTTTTTTCCTGTTAGGCAGTCAGGGTTAAGTGACTTGCCCAGGGTTACAGAGCTAGTAAGTGTCAAGTGTCTGAGGTTAGATTTGAACTCAGGTCCTCCTGAATCCAGGGCCAGTGCTCTATCCACTGCACCGCCTAGCTGCCCCTCCAATTCTTGGTTCTAGGATCCAATCTATGACCTCTTGCTAGCTCTCCTTTTATCACCCCTCCCTGCACGGAAACTTCCTGGCCCTGGCCTTCCTTGACTGTCTCCTCACCATGGAGGCTTAAATTAGTACCACAGAACTCGACTGCAGCCCTTTGCAGGTCCTGACCTTGACTCGGGTATAGAGTACGGGTTTCAGGATATAAACACATGAAAGACCTGTGTATGCTATCTGTGTATCTAAAAATCTGTTGGAGTGCACATTCTGTTAACCACAAACTCCCATTTCCCCTTGGATCTCAGCCAGCCAGAATTATACACATGAGATCATACTGAGGCAAAAGGACATTTCCTAAAAATAGTCTATAGAGAAGGGTCAGGCTCTTTCTTGTTGTCTCTGGCTCTTTATACCTCCATCTCAGAACCCTGATGGAAATCACTTAAAACTCAGGCTTTGGTCATATCTAGTGTCTCCCCAAAAGGGATCAGCAAGGTTCTCAGTGTACAAAGTAGGTAAGGTAAAGGACAACCATTTCTTTCCACCACTACAAAAGGAGGTCTTATTCATAAGTATACATTGACAAAAAAATTATAACGTGATACAGTAACCTATAATTCACAATCTACAGAGGTTACTTAAAACATTAAGACGTGGAGCACTTAGTGGGACAGTTGAATAGGCATGTTACTTTGACCTTGGCTCAGCATTTTCTGAGCATCTGCCTCAAGGACCATCTCTTCTGGCCATCCAGGCCAGAGCTTGGGTTCGTCCTCCTAACAGTGGTCATTTTCTCCAAGCAGGGTATACAGTTTCAGCAGACTCCTCCAGCTGCTCTCAAACTCTCAAACTCATGAACTCGGCCTCAAGTCTGGAAATGTCCATTTCAGAATTGCTATTTGGTCACGTATGTTCAGGGTAAGAAATACAAAACAGAAGAGGCCACCAGGGGTCCAAAATGGCATATAGCATATGTGCAAGAGAGCCTAGCCCTGAGCTCCCACATGGTCATCGGGCAGGAATAGAGACAATGAGTATACAAGAACATACAAGGTACATTCAAAGTAGGTGCAAGATAACCTTAAAAGGGAAGGCACCATGGGAAGCCAAGCGAAGCCTCAGTGAATCAATCAATGAGAATATACTGTCAGGCATCATAATAAACAATGGAGATACCATGACAAAATAAATAGTCCCTCAAAGAGCTTACATTCTAACAGAGTAGAAAATCTATATGTTGGGGCAACTAGGTGGCTCAGTGGATAGAGCACCGGCCCTGGATTCAGGAGGACCCGAGTTCAAATTTGACCTCAAACATATAACACCTATGAGCTATGTGACCGTAGACAAGTCACTTAACCCCATCACCTAATCAATATATATATATGGGGGGGGGGATAGAGGCGTATGTACTGTGTAGACAAAATGAATTCAAGGTAGTTTTGAGAGGGAGTGAATAACCCATGAATTCAGAAATGAATCAAAAGCTTTGTAGTAAATTAAAACAACTCTGAGGTACTACCTTACCCCTAACAGATTGGCTAATATGACAGGAAAGACAAATGACAAATGTTGGAGGGGATGTGGAAAAATTGGGATGTTAATGTACTCTTGAGTCATGAACTTATCCAACCATTTTGGAGAGTAATTTGGAACTATACCCAAAGTGCCTGCCCTTTGACCCTGTAATACCACTACTAGGTCTATATCCCAAAAAGGTCAAATAAAAAGGAAAAAGACCTATATGTACAAAAATATATAGCAGTTCTTTTCAAGGTGATAAAGAATTGGAAATTGAAGGGATGTCTATCAATTAAGGAATGGCTGAACAAGTTGTAGTATATGATTGTAATGAAATACTATTGTGCTATAAGAAATGATGAGCAGGATGCTTTTAGAAAAACGTGGGTAGACTTATATGAATTGCAAAGTGAAGTGAGCAGAACCAGGAGAACCTTGTACACAGTAACAGCACTATTGTATGATGATCAACTGTGAATGACTTAGCTATTCTCAGCAATACAATGATACAAGACAATTCCAAAAGACTCATGAAGAAAAATGCTCTCCATTTCCAGAGAAAGAACTGATGGAGCCACATTGTGCAATGACTTTCGTAGACTTGGTTCTTCTCAGAAATGCAAGGATCTAAGACAACTCCAAAAGACTCATGATGGAAAATGCCGTCCACCTCCAGAGGAAGAACTATGGAGTCTGAATGCAGATCAAATCTGTTGGATCCCTTTTTTTCTTTTGTTGTGTTGTTTTGTTTCTTCTTTCTCGTGGTTCCTCCCATTGGTTCTCATACTTCTTTACAACATGATTAATGTGAAAATATGCTTAATTTGAATGTGTATGTAGAGCCTCTATCAGATTGCGTGCCATCTTGGGGAGGGGAGAAAGGAGGGAGAGGGAGAAAACTGAAAACTCAAAAGCTTACAGAAGTGAATGTTGAAAACTAAAAATTAATTAATTAATTAAAAATTAAAAAAAACTGATGGATTCTGAATGCAAATCAAAGCATACTTTCAAAACTGTATTTTTGTTCTGATTTTTTTTTGGAGGGGAGGGGGTTAGGTCCGTGTTTTCTTTTGCAACATGGCTACTATGGAAATATGTTTTACACAACTGCATATGTATAACTGATATCAAATTGTTTGCCTTCTTAAAGAGGGAGAGAGAAGGGAGAGAGGGAGGGAGGGAATTTGGATGTCAAAAATTATAAAAAATGAATGTTAGAAAAAATAAACTAATGAATGAATGAATGAATGAATTTTAGAAATTATTTTACATGTAATTGAGAAAAAAACATCCTTTTTAAAGAAGCTTTGCAACAGAGGCAGTATATATGTGGTGTTGCTTTTGGGTAACTTTTTCAGCAATTAACTGAATCCAAAGTTAATTGTTCTTTGTATCCTTGGTACTTTTTAGCCTACTCTTTTTACTTCTCAGTCAATGTATTATTTTCGTGTCAGTGTTTATAGATTTTTAAAATTAACATAAGCTGTGAACATTTTGTATAAAGCACATAAACAATAAGAGGTCTATATTTGGAGTGATCACTGGTGTTCTCATCCTTTGGTAATAGAAACATGACACCTTCTATTAAGAAAGATGGGATCAGGCCAACATCTGAGAGGAAGCCAGCAAAGTGTCTTGCTAATAATATGTATGCTACTGAAGTGTTTGGGGCAATAATTATAGATCTTATCTGGTCCTACTGCTTCCCAGTTTTGGAGAGAGGCTAGAGTTTCAATCATCTCCCTTTATGTAACCTGTTTTGTCATTCATTATATTAATGATATGCAAGCTTTCTGCTTCTCATTTGACTCAACTTACATTTTCACAATTATTATTCTTACAGAAAATCATTCTCTTATCTGATGGAGTTCAGATAGATTTATATGGTCCTTGGGCAAGTTATTGTTCTTTTATATTTAATTTTATATTTATATAAATTTTATATTTAATGTTCTAAATTATCATTCTTGCTTAGTAGAGTTTCAGATAGAATGGTCCTGAGACAAGTCACTATCCTGACATTATTTTTTATATTTAATGTTCTGTAGAGTATTACACAGGTAGCTTAAATAACTTCTTTTTGTAGTTGAATATTATTATTATTGTGTTATTTTAATATGATTAATTATGTTAGTTGCTTTTCTAATGCTGCACAATCCTTATATCCTTGGTATAAGTCTACTTTGATCATAGGGAGTAATTTTTTGGATATTTTATTTTTTTTGCCAGGATTTTGCTTAACATTTTTGCATTAACATTCATTAGCAATGTTGGCTTATAGTTTCCTTTCTTCACTTTAGCTTTGCCTGGTTTATTAAGTATTAGGATGATTTTTGACTCATAAAAGTTTTATTTGTCAATTTTTGAGAATAATTTGTGTAGCCGTGGTATTAATTGCTATTCAGTGATAGATACCAATTCCCTTTGGTAGTTCCTTATGGTTGGAAGGTATTATCATTTTTCAAAAAATTTTCTTAATTTATTTTGATTTATCAACAATCACTTCCATATGCTTTTGAGTTGAAAATTTTTCTCCCCCTCCTTCCCCCCCACCCTCCCCAAGACGGCGCACAATCTGATATAGGCTTTGCATTTACATACCCATGAAACATATTTTCACATTAGTGAAGTTGTAAGTAAAAATTAAAACCAATAGGAGGAACCATCAGAAAGATGAAACAAGGAAGGTATTATCATTATTAATACTAGCTGTGACAATTAACTACCCTGACCATCGGCCGAGGGGGCTCACCATCTTTGTTTTTTTTTATCCTTAGAACCTCTAGACAAAGGGATTTTGCCAGACAGTCCCAAGGGGAATGACCTGTGCCTGCTGTCTCCTGGAGGCTCGTCTCCTGAGGCCAGCATTGTATCCTTCCTTCCTGCTTACCAAGACCCGAGTGAGAAAGAGGAGATAGAGCAAGCCCTGCCATCAGAGGAAAGGAAGCACCACCAGTGTTTAATCTTGCTGATGTAAGGAAATGTGGGCTTGGTAATAACACCATTTGTAGCAGCGTCTCTGAGTCCAAGGGACAGCAAAGGTGAAAAGAATTCCCCAGAGAGCTTCAGGAGTTCCTAGATCCTGTTTGGTTCAGTCATTCAACAAACATTTCCTGAGTATCTTATTATTCATAAGGTCTTTTGTCAGTGCTGAAGGGGGAACAAGGATGAACAAGACATGGCTCCTTCCCTCCCAGTACTAACAAGTCTAGTTAGAATTCTAGACCAGAGTTGGAAGACCCTTCTAGTCTCAGACATGCCACTGACTTGCTTAGATACTCACTTTTCCTCCACAGATGTTACTTTCCTCATTTGTAAAATGGGATGGCTCATAGTGATCACAGGATGTAGAGCTACAGAGCTCATTTAGTACAATCCTATTTACTTTACAGGAGAGAAAAGTAGGTTATCTGGTGCCCTTCAGCTCAGAAAAGTCTAGGATTCTTTGAAGAGGCACACCTATGCAATCATGGGAAAGGTATTCATTTTGAGGTTGGACGACTTGGGTTTCGTTTCTCCTTTTGCTACTTACTACCTCGTGGCTTCAGGGAAGTCTCTCCCTTCAGGACCCTCATCCCTAAAATGGGAAAGTTGTGCTAAGGTCTCTTTTAGCTTTAAATCCTTCGGTCTCTGAATCCTCTCACTTTTTAATTGGGGAGCCTGTAGCAATTAGAGAACAAAATGATTCCCCCAGCTCTACTACGAATCAGTGTCAGAGCCCAGCTAGCATCCAAGGCTCCTGAGCCCCAGGCCCAGGGCTATTTTCTTTTACTCTATACTGCCCAGCTGAGAGATCAGGCTTACCCATAAATAGTTGGGTGAGGACAAGGCAAATAATGTCACAAGGTGGGGGTCAGTGCCCAGTGAGTGTCTCCAGCAATAGGGGTTATAGAAAGGAATTAGAATACTGTGAACTAGAAGGACCAGGAATGGAGACATCTTCATCCAAGTAGTGTGTGTGTGTGTGTGTGTGTGTGTGTATGTGACCATTCAAAATCATGAAAGAAATAGCTGCTGGGATGTGGTTAATCAAAATCTCTTTTGTGTCATGGTCCCTCTTGGTAGGCTGGAAAAATGTATAGACCCCCTTTTTCAGAATAATGTTTTTAAATACACAAAATAAAATACACAGGATTGCAAAGGAAACCAAATATATTGAAATAAAAATGTATTTTTTCCCCATCCAAGTTCACAGGCTCCCTTAAAATCTATCCAAATAGGGGTCTGTGGACCCCAGGTTAAGAACCCCTGATCTAAACTTTCAGTGACTCCCCAATGCCTACCTAAGAAAGTATAAATTCTCAATTCCAGCATTCAAGGCCTTCTACCTTGGTTCTAATCAACCTCTCCAGCCTTACTTATCACCCTTCCATGTATTCTTTGCTCCAGGCAAACTAGCTGACTCTCTATATCCTATTCTTAGCATTATAGAACCATAGATTTATCCTGGAAGGGACCTTAGAGATAATTTAATTTAACCCTATAATTTTACAGATGAGAAAACTGAGGCCCAAAGAAATTAGATGACTTGCTTCACTGTGGCTTTTCTTCTTATTGAAGTTTCATTGATTTCGTGCAAATGTTTTTGAATTTTATATGACTACAGTTGTCTGTCTGTCTTTTGTAAACACCTCTATCCCTTATCTGGAAATAAATTCATTCTAATTCTCCCATTGTTTTTATAAGATATTCTTTTATATTTAAAGTGCTCATCTATTTGAAGTTTATGTAATACATATAATTTAATTTGGGACTTAAACTTTTAATTAAAATGAATGTTAAAATTGTACATGTAACTGGAGGCAAACAAAATATTATTTAAAAAATATTTCTATATACATATATAACATACACATACATATATATGATTTAAGATTTGAGTCTAAATCCATTTTCTACAAAACTGCTTTCTAGTTTTCCCAGAAATTCTTATCAAATTGGGAGTCCTTCCCCAGTAATAATAATAACAGCTAGCATTTATATAAATCCTACTATGTGCCAGACACTATGCAAAGTGCTTATGAATATTACCTAATTAGATTCTCACAACAACCCTGGGAGAGAGTGCTATTATTATCCCCATCTTACAGTTGAGGAAACTATGGCCAATAAGTGACTTACTTAGGGTCTCACATCTAGTAAGTGTTTGAGGTTGAATTTAAACTCAGGTCTTC